GGGTATGGTCATTTGACATTGAAATAAATTGGTCATCTTGTTTTACTTTTCCCATGCTTTCCTTTAAAGAGTAACATTAACTCCTGCATTTCATCAGGTATAATGTTTCACTTGCTAACTGCACCATCGGTGATTCATGTATCATTCATCATGGAGTTTCCATCGGTCAAGACGGTATGATCAGTGGATTACACATATTCTCATACAAATTTTTACTCAGCTCCCGTGTTTTGTTCTTTTATGGACATTGTATCCTAGTGGCCGATTCAAATAAAAAGATTAAATAGCGCGAGAAGATAAGAAGAGAAAATTAAAGAAAGGTTCATATGTGAATCATTGAAAAACTCCAAAAATTTAATTTGAAGATGAATACATGAACCAACGTTACAAATTGTTCAACATGGGTTCATATATGCATCTTCAAATGGATTTTTTCAAGAATTCACATATAAACATTCCCTTCTTACCTTCTCACGATATTTAGCCTTCTTATTTGAACCTCCCACTTGTATTCTATATACGTGTATTCTAATAATTAGTAAAAAATCGTTCTTTTTTAGGTTTTGGTTTTTTCGTGGATGAGGAGAGCACCATGGTGAAGAAGCCTCAAGTTAGTAATCTACATTGCTTTCCCTATAACATCTTTCTTTCAATTTTCATAATTCCTTTGTTATCTCTTTCGTGTTTCTGTATACGCCCATGGGACATAACTTCTGTTGATTTAAGGTCATGTTTGGCAACCATAAGCTAACTTATTTTTTGAGCTTATTGAAAAACCCTCATTAAGCTAGCTATCTGAAATGCTACTTCAAGTAGCATTTCATTAAGCTAGCTATCTGAAATGCTACTTGAAATAGCATTTCATAAGCTCGAATGGATTTTTTTTCCATTTTTTCCAATCATGCTCCTTTAATATTTTTTCAATTAATTTTCTAACATGTCCTTTATGGTCATTTTACATTGTCATCTAGCTTATCAACCGGTATCTACCGAACATGACTAGTTTATCAGCTAACTTATTAACCAACAATAGTTTATTAGCCATCAGCTAGCTAGTTTCAAACATAACCTATATGAATCAACAATTATTCAATCTTGTGTTTCGGAGACAATTTTAGAAATCCATTAATAAATTGGCATTTATTCAATCGTGCTTTTCGTAATCTTTAGGCACTAAAAGCTCATATAGGGAATAATGTTGAGATTGGTGCAAATTCATGCATTGATAGAGGCAGGTGAGCTCTCTAACATGAAATGCTCTCTGGGTTGATACACTTTCAGGTTTCTAAATATACAAATGATAATTTACCATTTTACCCTTCTTTCTGCAGTTGGAGGGATACTATGATTGGTGATCATTCAAAGATCGATAATTTAGTTCAGGTCTGTATCGAGTTCATTAAATTGTTCATCTTTTGATACCCAAAATGAGTCCTTTAACCTCAATTTGCAGATAGGTCACAATGTAGTGATTGGCAAGTGTTGCATGTTATGTGGGCAAGTTGGCATTGCGGGTTCTGTAACGTATGCTTGTACTATTCTATATGATCTGTTTGAGTTTCGAAATTGTCTGCCTTTTCTGATGTTGTTTTCGGTTTAGGATTGGCGATTACGTAACTTTAGGTGGAAGGGTTGGAGTTCGTGATCATGTCACCATTGTGTCGAAGGTATTCATTCAATTGATAGGAAAAAGGACAATTTTGGACCAAAATCATATTCACATGAAACACCCAGAAAGCATTCGAGATTTAGGGTGTTCACGGTTCAGTGATTCCATACCCATTTGAGAACCATAAATATTTTGTGAAACAGGGAGCCAACTATTCATGATGAATACAATGAATAATGAAAATGCATGGTATTCATGATTAAGAATATTCATGAATATTTTAGGGCTATTCATCGTTAATGATTCATAAAATAGTTGGTTCTCAGGTTCTCAAAATATTTATATTTCTCATTTGAACTTTCCCATGCATACCTAAACCAGACAAACTCAGTATATCCATTACTATTGTATGGTTTGGGAGGTATGATGTACGTAGAGTGATTGCAAACCTATCTCTTGCAATCATATAACGTATTTATGTTCCTATTTGCATTTCTTGTGATTCATATCGTCGAAAGTATTAAAAAATTTAAAATACGATGCCTTGAGATGCAGGTACGATTAGCAGCGGCTAGCTGTGTCACCAAGGATATCAATAAACCTGGCGACTATGGTGGCTTCCCTGCTGTAAGGATATTTGTAATATAAGAGAGAGTTCATTTAGGAACCTTAAATGTTTTGAGAACCATGAGAACCAACTATCCATGAATTATTCATAATGAATATAGCCAAGTATTCATGATGAATATAGCCAAAATATTCATGATGAATATAGCCAAAATATTCATGATGAATATATCATGCATTTTTCATTATAGATTATATTAATCATGAATAGATGGTTCTCATGGTTCTCAAAATATGTACGGTTCAGATTGAGCTTTAAACAAATCTATACCCTAAAAATTTAACCTCCATTCACAGGTCCCAATTCATGAATGGCGGAGACAGGTTGCTAATCGTTGTCGAACATCAAAGTAGGGGATGTTTTGGACTTGTGATGGATTAAATCAAGCGAAATGGATCATTTGAGGATGTAGATCTTGTCAACCAACCTGTGGAAAACAAGGTACCATCGGTTATCTATGAGCTCATCGGACATTTTTTATACGATTTACGTCCTTGGCTAAATCACGAAAAGGTCAAGATTTATTGGGGTTGAGATGTAAATGAATCAATGTTTTTGTTTGCTTTTACATTGTAGCATTTATGAATGTTTGTATTTATTTCTGGTTTCATATAAGGTTACTAGTGATTCCTATATACCTTCATCAAGTGTTATTTTCTATCATAACCAAATTCATTTGGTTTTGTCCGAATGTTTTTGAGGGATTTGGATTTCATGAAATGGTTTGAAATTTAAATTCCATTTTTCATAAATAATGTATACAAATTATTAAAAAAATATATAAAAATAATTAAATAGTGTTTGATCTGAAGAAATGAGTCGAGATACACGAGAAACATCAAAGCGTTTGCGGTCAAATCTTAGAAGAATCGTTAACGATGCTCTTTGGAAATCATCAAAACTCATAGATGACCACAACCCGTTAAGGAAATGGGTTATTTAGTTAAATGACTTTCTCACAGTTAAATCTAGAGGTCATCATTAGCAGGTCCGGCTGGGCTTTGGGCCGGGCTTAACTTGTTTTTTTTATCCAATGGGCCTAATATTGTAAATTCAAGCTTTTTTGTCGGGTTGACAACTTGCAATTGTTCGCCATATAAACGGTCCAGACTAACCCATGGGCTTACGGGCTTAAAAAGTGTAACTCTTATTTAATAAATGTGAAAACCATAAAGTAAAGGAAAAACACTCTTGTAATTAAAACTTTTGGCAACTACTGACACTATCCATTGTTGATCGATTAGGACTTTTAACGTAAGGATGCTAACAAAGATAATGTAAAGCCTTTTGGGTTATTGAGAAAAACCAAATAGTTCCAACTCCCATCCTTTTAACTTTAATAATTTAATTTTAAAATATACTAGTATAATTGTAGTTAATGGTTAAAAAATATTAATTATAAAACATAAACGGGCCGGGAGGGTCTGTCCATATTTATTTTTGCATTGCCCATGTCCACCCATTAATTTTAACAAACAAACCTGGGCCCGTCCATTTTCTCGACAATGGTTGTTCAAGCCCGTATTACTAGCTGGCCGGATGGACTGGGTCTAACGGGTCGTCCCGCCCATGAACAACTATAGTTAAATCTATGATATTTTGACAGGTTTTTAGTCATTTTTGTCTTTGACTGAGACATTCTTTTGTTAAGGAGAGCATTCTTAATACATGTTAGAAGATCATTCAGCTAAATGATACTGCAGAAATTGGAGAAAAACGTATCTCGAGTTTCCAATTATAGTGAACTTTGGGGTTTTTGCAACTACAACGGTAACAAATGTTAATCACCTCATTATAACATTTAGAAATTCTAATAACAGAATGAAAAACAAAATGTAGAACATTTCTTATATCGTTATATTCATATATGGCGTGAAGTGAGATCAACATGTTTTTGTGAAAGCCGTGAGATTACCTTTTTACACTTGAAACTTCTTCACAGCAAAACGCTATAAAGGTAACATTTACAGTGTTTTTACTGTGAAGGTTCGGCTTTTTGTACATTCACAACGTTTTGCTATGAACTTTCAAGTGTAATAAAGTGGTCTCACAGGTCTTATGAAAACAAACTAGTACCCAACCCTTCGTGTGTATGTGTGTGTATATATGTATACATATATGTGCTTAGGAGAAAGTTCAAACCGATCTCATATATATATTTTGAAAACATGGGAAACAATTTTTCATGAATCATTCACGATGAATAATCCAAAAACATATTCATGCATGAATAATATTCGTCATGAATATTATTCAAAGTTAGTTGGTTCTCAGATTCTCAAAATATTTACAGTTTCTAATTGAACCTGTCGATCTTGTGTAGATATATATTCTCACTAGAGTTCCCTTCACTACCAGTTCTCACAAACCCTTCGAAACCCATATGCCGAATCTTCGTCTTCCAATTAAAAACCCGATATTTGATCACGGTCTCCACCGTCACCATCAAACCACCATCGCCTGCCACACCTCCTCCCCGAAGTAGTTGATCACAGCCAATCACCACCTCCTCCGTCACCGTCTTCTTCCGCCCTTGACAAAAAGCTTCCAAAGACTTGTTCCCGACAACAAAACCACCCTTGTGTAGTTTCATATCAATCTCGACGTAGCAAATTGCCATTCCATTATTAGGGTTAGTGATCTCAAGAACAAAAACAAGACCTTTTGGGTCGTTTTCTTGGATTCTTGACGAATTTTGGTTGCACGTTTCAGGAATGCGGATGTCGGTGAGGGTGAATTCGGGGTGTTTCGGTTTCGTGCTTAACCAAACCACGATCGCGGTTAAGCTCAAAACTATTAGAACTTGAATGAACCAGCAATAGATGGCACAAGGGCTTTCTGATACCTTTCTTCTAACCATGCTTTCAAGATTATTGAACCATGTGAGGTAAGGGATTTGAAGAGATTAGAGAGACTTGAATTCTGAGGCTTTTTGTGTGCCTAGAAACTGCCTTCTTATGATATATATATATATATATATATATATATATATATATATATATATATATATATATATATATATATATATATATATATATATATATATATAGATTTAAGATAATGTGAAACCAAAGGTTTTTTATGAGACCCGTAAGACCAATTCTTAACCCTTGGATTAAATATATAAAGATTTAAATTGGGTTGTTTCTTGAAAAGTTAGAGTTGGATGATATTGAAATGCATCTTTTTTTATCATTTTACAACACTTTCTTGGTGTCTCTTTGATGGAAAGTTAACCTTTGTAGGTTGGAAACCTCTCTTTGGATTTGCTTCCTTAGGAAGTTTGTTCTTTTCTCACTAATTTTTATTTTTTTTAATATTATATATATATATATATACATATATATATATATATATATATAAGAGGTTTATTTTACAAACCATGTTATTTGTATAAACCATACAAATCTCGTTCAACCAATCATAATTGTTTTTCATTTTTTTAATTATGAGAGGGTGATTAATCATTTTTATTATGGAGGGTGTTAATCATGGATATTATCATCTTCATTATATTAATTTTAGAGAAATACATGAAATAATTTCATTAAAATTTCATAACCATATATGAAACAACTTTATCAAAAAAAAAATATTATATGAAACAATTTCATGAAAAAAATTCATATGATTAAACAATGAAATCGACAGATGAGGGTGATTTGCACGGTTTGTACAAATATGAGTAGCTTGCATTTGATCATCCCTCCTCCCTTCTCTCTCTCTCTCTCTCTCTCTCTCTCTCTCTATATATATATATATATATATATATATATATATATATGTAGGGGCAGGTTCAAATGAAAACCATCTAATTCTAAAAAACCGTGTAAACCAATTTCAACCAATCAGAAAATTCCATTTTTTTTCAATTAAATTTAATGAATAAGGGTATTTCTGTCATTTTCCACATTTTTTTGATAATTAAGGAAGTTATTAATACATATTATTTAAGGAAATTTAATAAAAGAAATAATGAAAAAGGTAACGTTTCAAAATTTAAATATATTATATTATTAAAATCTTTATTTTAATGATTTGGTATTCAATGAATCATGAAACATTTTATGAAGATTACAACAATTTTAGGAATGAAATCGTGCGTTGATGTTGGTTAGAAAGAAAAAAAACAAATGTTCATGAAACTGTATAAACATGAAAATGTTTCATTGTAAAATGACTTATTTGCTTCTTCAAAGCATATGGTATACATCAATGAAATAGTGTCGTGATGGTGAAAATTTTTATGTTCTAATTGATGCATGCTTCGTGAAATATTTTCATGGTGTTCCCTATTGCTTTTTGATTGAAGTTGATCCGTTTAATTGGTAGAATGAAAAGGGTTCATGATGATGAAACATTTTCATTTTGTAATTGATTCGTGATTGATGAACTAGTTTCATGGTGAGCAACGTTGCATTGTAATTGAATTTGATCCGTTTAGTTGGTAGAATAAAATGAAACGGGTGCATAATGGATTTTGTTCTTTATGAAATATACGTATCATGAAACAGGTGCATAGTAAATTTTATTGTACATGAAATTAATGTGAATGTAAATGTTTACATGTGAAAATGTTTCATTATAAAATAGTTATTTAAATAGGTTCATGCTGGTGAAACATTTTCATTTTATAATTGATTCGAGATTGAAGAACTAGTTTCATGGTGAAACAGTTTCATTTTATTGTATATGAAATTAATGTTTATGTAAATGTTTCAATGTGAAAAGGTTTAATTATGAAATAGTTAATCAAATAGGTTGATGTTGGTGAAACATTTTCATTTTTAATAAAATAAATATTAATCATTTGTTTACCGATTCTACCCTTGTTGATTAAATAAAATAAATATTAATTATTTTTTAAATTTTAATTTCCTAAAATAAAGTAATATAATCTTAGTCATTGATCAAGAAAATGGACGGATGAGATTGGTTTACACGGTTTACACAAATGGGTCAAGTTTTCATTTGAACGCTCCTCTATATATGTATATCTATATATATATAGAGAGAGAGAGAGAGAAAGAGAGACTTAAGATTATGTAAGACAAGACTGTTTCGTGAGACACGTGAGACAAATTTTTACCTTTGAAACTCCACAGCAAAACACTGTGAAAGTAACATTCACAATGTTTTTGCTATAAAGGTTCGGATTTTTTTTACCTTCACAACAATTTCATTCACACAAGAAACGTACAATTATTTATTCACAAAGTACATATATCGCTCGGTTACAGAGAAAAAAGACAAAACGTAGCCTCATTTGTGTGAGTGCGTCATAAAAAAAGGTGTCTAAGAGAGAAGACGTTCCAACATACTTCGAGAAGAACTTGTCCAAATCTAGAACACGTGCCAACACGTCTCCTAGACAGAACAAAAATCTCGTGTCCCATACTTGTCCACCTCTAACATGAAACACATCATCATTTATACCGGAGATAAATAAATAAAATACTGATGTGTCTTCGTGTGATTGGTGGGACAGAGAAGAGACATGGGATTTGAGGATAACAGATATTTATTCTAGACAACGACAGTTGCCCTAGAGTGTCGAGTCCCTTTTTTTAAGTGAAATACACCGGGCATTTCTTTTCCTTATCGCTTTCTAGTAACATCCCATTTGACCCGACTCCTATTTCACAATTTGCATGCATCTTATGGCGTCGACTGTCCCATGCCGACACCTTAAACCGAATCGACGAGGCCACGTCGAGCCGAAACGGCACCGACCCCCGTTTTCGAGCCGCCAACAGCTGTATCCAACGCGCATAGTTAATCCTCAATGTGGGTCCCGACAACGTGCCATAGACAACGACCGTGTTCTTCGATGATTGATAGAACGGAAACAACAATGGTGTTTCCGCTATAGTTTGATCCTGATAATACAAAGTGAGATTCATCGTGTCGTAATAAATCCCGATATCGAGGTTCGGGTTTTGGGCCGTCACGTTAAACGTGACGTGTACATTCGAAAGCCCGTTAGGTTCGGCCAAACTCGGGATGGAAAATTCATGTATGTGAAACCGGGGACGATGTGGGCGTAAACTAAGCCATAAAACGAACATTACCAAGCCGATAGTGAAGATAATGCTGAGAAAAACCGCACATATTAGCTTCGTGATACGAGTGGTTAAACTTTCTTGGGCTTGGTGTTTGTTGTATTGAGCGTTGTGGTGTTGCCGTAAGTGGCGGCCACCGCGGTGGTCGTCGGCGGTGTTCTGGGTGTGCATTTGTTGGTGGTGGTGGTGGGTGG